GGAGGTGGTGATGTGTGAATTGGACAATGTGGTGTTTGAGGTTGCTTGAGAATATTAGTTTCAGAAGGTGGAATATTTGGATCGGCTTGTGGAGAAGTCGGGAAGATGGGAGGAGAAACACTCAGGAAGGTGGGAGGAGAAACAGTAACAGTAGGTGGGGGAACTTTTCATTGGAGTACTAGACAGGTTTTCTGTTTCCCAAAACAGATATTCTTTTGTAGAATTCTCCCCCTGAATATCAGCTTTGGGACAGCACGGCTGATGTTCAACAAATGTGACATCTATGGAGTTGTAAAATTTTATGGTAATTGGAGAATAACATTTGTAACCGTTTTGGTTTGGAGAGTACCCAAGAAATACTCATTTTATTGCTTTGGGGTTGAGTTTGCTTCAGTGTTGATGTATATGAACAAAAGAGGTGCAACCAAAGACTTTCGGTGGAAGAGTGGACATCAGCCGAGTACTAGGGTAGGATTTTAGGAGTGTCTGGCACGGGGTTTGAAATTATAAGACACGAGGAGGCATCCTATTGATTAGATATGCAGCAGTAAGAATAGCCTCGCCCCCTAAGTGTTTTGGAACGTGGGTTTTTCCTTTCAGCAATTTCGTACTGTTAGGGAGTATCAATGCATGAACTCTAATGAACAATTCCTTCCCTTGAAAAAAAAATCTCCCAAAATGGACTCAAAATATTCTCTTGCATTAGTAGACCCTAGCACTTGAATTTTTGCATGAAATTGAGCCTGAATCATATTGTAAAATTTTTGAAAATTTGACCCACTTCTAATATTTCTTTCATAAGAAATATCAATGTGATTCTAGTGTGATCAGATCACCACAAGTGAAACAAACCATCCGGTGCCCGTCACATTTTTTATCCTTGAAGGTCCCTAAACATCACTATGAATCATAAAGAAGGGATGATAAGGTTTGTACGACGGAATTGAGAAAGAATTACGAACATGCTTTGATAATTGACAAATTTCACACTGATATACTTTTGAATTATTATTGAATAATGATGGAAAAAGTTTTTTGAAGTACATAAACTTGGATGACCTAGACGATAGTGCCATAACATGATAATACTATGCTTATTGGAACTAGAAACAGAGAAAGAGTGCTTGTCACCATTTGCCTTTTGAGGTTGTTCTTCAGGATTATTAGCAATGTTGAGTAGATAGAGTCTCGAACATATCTCAGCATTGCCAAGTTTAACCCGAATTCAAATCCTAAAATTCACAATGGTTTGGTAAGAATTTAGTTATACAATTCTTCTCCTGAGTAAGATTACTAACATATAATAGGTTACAATTCAGATTCGGAACTAAAAGTACATAGTCAAGGACCTTTGAAATTACAACTTAACTGGTACCGGCCATCTAAGAAAGAGAACCATTTGCAATCTGTACAGTATGATTGCCCGAACACGGTTAATATTTATGAAGAGCAGATGTGTCACTTGAGGAAATTACCTTTTTGAGCAAGGGACACTGTTGCAACAACAGTGTTGGAAGTGCTTGAATTTTGTTGTGATTGATTGTTCATCCTTTGCATGATTTCCATCTATTCCTTGCTGAAAGGGTTGGGCTCTGAAGGTGCTTGATAGTCCTCGAATGAGAAATGTTTGCCTCGCCCTTCTCTATCGTTTTTAGGTCAAGATGGTTTCCAATCTGCTGGTTTGCCATGGATTTTCCAACAGGTTTCCGTAGTATGACTTGGTTTTCTACAATGGTCACACCAAGGTCTTGCTTTGCTTGCTTGATTGTCGGCTGGCTGGTACTTGTTAGGTACCAACACAGATTAACAAATTAACAATAGACACAGAGGAAATAACTTGAAAATGGGTCAAGCTCCTTTTATTTATCTCACATACATATCTCATAAGAGAGGAATTCCATTCATAGAGAAGCAAGAAAATAGCAAAGAACAATGGATAATTCGAGGTTCCCCTTCTTTCCAATGGTCTACAAATAGTATTTTCCGAATCAACAGCAACCCTATCCCACGTTACTCCACTTCCTCAATATTTCCTCTGCTAACAAACTCGTAACCAACTTGACACCTCAGCGCTCCTTTTTCATATTTCCACTTCCAACCCCATTTTCCTGTAAAATCCCCCGATGGCCCTTCCTCCTAGAATAGACCAACGTAACCGGTGGCCTAACATTACCTACCCACCCAGAGAACAACCTTGTCCTCAGGGTTGAAGGAGGGAAATTGCAAGCGGATAGCAGCCATTGGCTCCCAAGTAGACTCCTAATCAGGCAGGCCCTGCCATTTAATGAGCACCTTCGGTTCTTCGCGATTCCCTACAACCACCACATGAGTTGCTAACACTTCCGCCGGTTGGACACACAACTCCAAGTCTTCAAACAGCTGTGCTGGTAGAGGCTGCACCTTAGAGACGGCCCCCTTAAAAGGCTTCAATTGAGAAACATGGAAAACAGGGTGGCTTCAATTGAGAAACGTGGAAAACAGGGTGGATGCGAGAATCGTCGGGCAGACGCAGGCAGTACGCCACCAGCCCAATCCTGTCCAAGAATTTTAACGGCCCATAGAAATGCAGGGCTAGCTTCTCATTCACGCGGCGAGCAAGCGATTTTAGACGATAAGGCCGCAGCTTAAGTAAAACTAGCTCGCCCACCTCAAAACTCAACTCCCTTCTATGGCTATCCGAAATTTCTTCATTCGCTATTGAGCCATCATAAGGTGAGATTTCAACAGATCTAACATCTCATTGCGAAGGGCCAACTGGTCTGCCACAATAGCCACCGTGCCCAGAGAGTCATGAAAGTGGAAAAGTGCGGGAGGATCGCGGCCATAAACTATGCAAAAGGGGGTAAATTTGGTCGAAGCATTAAAGGTGGTGTTGAGCCAATACTTTGCCCATGGAAGAAATGAGGACCAAAGTTGCGGCTTATCACCCGCAAAACACCTCAAGTAAGTCTCTAAGCAACGATTAACTACCATCGGACTCTGGGTGATATGCCAAACTTGCACACAACTTAGTACCTTGCAATTTGAATAGTTCGCGCCAAAACTCACTCATAAACTCCGCATCTCTATTGCTCATGATGGACCGTGGAATGCCATGGAGCTTGATGATATCTGAGACAAACATGGCAGCCACTTGTTTGGCAGAAAACGGGTGTGCTAGGGGACAAAAATGAGCGTATTTCAACAAGCAATCAACCACCACTAAAAGCGGGTGTGCCAGGTGGACTGAGCTCCTCAGGCAGCAAGGGCAGAACTCTCAGTCGCTGGTGTGTTGGTTTGAGACCCCAACATATTCTTCTTGCAGCTCTCTTCATGGCAGACGTAGAAAAGGCTTCTCGAATATTAGGTAAGGGTTTGTTCCTAATATCCTCCCTCTGATTTCTTATGGAGGCCAAGTAGAAACTTGTAAACTCTTTTCTTTTCAACAATTTTCTTGTATTTTTCTGCATTGCCTGGACAATCCCACTCGTTTGATACAAACATGACGAGTTGTTGCCAATATTTTCTTAAGAGGCTGTAATACTGTGTGACTGGAAGGTTGCCTTGGCGCAAGTTGTGAAGAATCCCTTCAATTTCAAAGGCTTCAGCAATGTTTTCTCTAAGTATGTTTCTTTGTTGCCTCCCATATTTCTCGGGCTGTTTTGTACAGGAGAAAGTTCTCTCCTATATCATTTGTCATGGAATTGATCAGCCATGACATGACCATATTATTTTCTGATTTCCAAGTCCTGTGCTTTGGATCTTTCTCTGCAGGTGGAGTTGCAACGCCTGTGAGATAATCATCTTTGCCTCTTCCGCACACGAACATCATAAAGGACTGCGACCATTGCAAATAATTCTGACCATTCAGTTTGTGCCCTGTTATGGTTAGAACCGCATTATCTGAGCTGTTGCTATTTGTTGGAATTGGAGCTTTCTGACTGGAGGTTACCTTGGAGATGGAGCTTTCTTTTTCCGAGGCCATCCTGTACTTAGTCATTCACGGATTGAAGAATTCAGAGCAATGCTCTAATCCCATGAAGTTTTTTATGGGAAAACTTTTTGTTATTGATCTGTTTCAACCAGTACAAGAGCAAGAACATATATACAAGAATTCTAGGCAAGAAATCTTACAAAAAACAAAAAATAATCCCTGATTTGTGGAGAGAAATCATCAATCAAATCAGGGAATAAATTACAAGAGAAAAGGATGGGGCAATAGACTATCCAAATCCTCTAAACAAGGAAACTAGTGAAGCTGCAATATTCCAGCTGTAAATCCTCTAGTCAACACCATAATTCCACACTACGTGATGAAGCCATGGCCATGCCTTGGTGAGCGTTGGCATGTGGGGTTGCCTCGGTATGCTCGGTAGCCTCTGTCCCTAAGAATTGATCCTCGTTGTGCCTACGTGATGAAGCCATGGCCATCCTTGGTGAGCGTTGGCACGTCGGGGAGCCTCGGTATGCTCAGTAGCCCCTATCCCAAAGAATTGATCCTTGTTGTGCCTACGTGATGAAGCCATGGCCATGCCTTGGCGAGCGTTGGCATGTCGGGGATCCTCCTCGTTGTGCCTACGTGATGAAGCCATGGCCATGCCTTTCGAGCATTGGCACGTCGGGGAGTCTCAGTATGCTTGGTAGCCCTTGTCCCTATGAATTGATCCTCGTCGTGCTATGTGATGAAGCCATGGCCATGCCTCGGCGAGCGTTGGCACGTTGGGGAGCCTCCTCGTTGTGTCCCTTTAAAGAGTAAAAAAGAAAAAAAGAATGCCTTCATGCCCAAAGCCAAATTATGTTTAGTAGGTTTTTTTTGTTTTTTTGTTTTTGTTTTTGTTTTTTTTTTCCCTTTGCTTCTTAGCTTACTTAAAATGTGCTAAATCCTATATATTTGATGGACAATGATCTGAATTCTGAAGTCTGCTCTGGTTCTGTTTGCATTTTTTTGTGTGGATAATTATTATTATTTTAATTTCATGTCTAACTGGCATAAATCTGCTTCTACTATTGTCCCTATTCAGGCTTTGTGGCAAAAACCAGATGATCAATTTTGCACTGAAATGTTAAGTGCGGCTCTAGTAGATGAATGCCGTGGCGGTGTGGATCCCAAGGTCGAATTCCGATGAAATGATGTTTACCTCTAATGGGGCATGTTTTTGTTTCGTTAATTCTCTTTTATTGTTTATGTATTAATTATTACAATTGTCTTTACTAGTACAATTGATTAGTCATGAATATAATTGTTGTGTCAAGCCAAAGAAATTTATGCAATATTATGTGGTTGTACCCTGATTCAACTGTTGATTCCTGCGATTTCGACCGCTTCACAAGTTAAGCAATGCATCATAGAATCTGTGCTCAATTTGACTTTTGCAATTGGTGAATGATTCAATATGGTGAGTGGATTATGCGTGAATGACTGCGTGAGTGCACTCTTTCCCTTCAGCTGGTCAAAGCAGGAAGCGGCTTATATTAAACTTTTGTTTGGCCTTGTAATTGAAGAAGAAAGAGATGATATTGTTTTGAAGCGAAAAATATCAACTTTATAGCTCAAGTTTGTGTTTAGTTTTAAACATTCTGAAGTATATTTGAGGTAGTTATTAACTTATTTGCTTGAATAAATTAACTTCTTGCGGGAGAGCTAAATTTTCATACAATGAGCATCTGTGTTTGTGTGTGTGTGTGTGTGTGAGCTTCATTTTCATACAAGTTTGTGTAGGTTTCTATGAGCTAAAAATATTACATCATTACAGGTTTCTATGATTATATGTGTGATGTGTGTGTGTGTGTGTGTGTGTGTGTGTGTGAGCTTCATTTTCAAGGTTGATTGGTATAGGTACAACAAACTTTGATAGAAAAGGTGATTAATCCATATTCACAAACAAAGAGGTGATTTATCCATAATTTCTAGTGAAAACAAAACTCCAACCTCTATTTGTGGTTCTCTCTCTAATTCATTCTTTGTCAATTTAACACAAAAGAATGTGCTTTAGATCTTAAAACGTGTTTGGCCGCCAATTCACAAGTCACTACAAATCTACATCAATATTAATCAGTTTTTAGGTCAATGCTCTGAATAGTTAATGCAGGTCAAAATTCTGTAGTAATTGAGCTGTGATGTGAAAAAAAGATTCATTAACTTGAGTATTTAATGTGTCTAAGAGCTTCTATGGTAGGTATTCTTATTGGCATTCTTATTAGCATTCTTATTGGCAGTTTTTTAAACGTTACATCTACTCAATCACATTAAAATGAATAAATAAGCAAACTTGACAAAATATAATACAGGTATTGAGCATTTGCATAATAAGAGGGGCGAAAGTGGTATTTTAAAAAAATATAAGGGGTATTTTGTGTACTTTTACAAAAAAAAAAAATTTAGTTTTAGGTCAATGTTAGGAACAATTATTGCAGGGTAAAAATTTTGTAGTTTAACCGTGATGTGGAAAAAGTAAACTGTGTCTCTGTACATATTTATACATCTATAATAGTAAATAACATTTATAGTGACACTTAACCTTTCTCAACGGCATTGCATGCGTAGAAAGTAAAGGTGTAAGAAATGAACTTGAACCCGACGAACCCATTCGAGCCATTTAGACGTGGAAGATTGAGTTGGGTGGCCATTTATAACCATTATTTGAGCGGTTGATCCATCTTCTTCAAAATTATCCCAATAGTTTATTTTTATTTTTATTTATAAAGTTAATCAGTTACATATTAAAGTCAATCAATTAATAGATCAAAATCAGTTAGTGATGGACTATGGTTAAAAATATAATCTTTTACTCAATCAGTGATAAATCATAATTAATTATTAACAGACCGCAGTTAATCTTAATGTAAAAATATAAATCGGAGGTTTATGAAATGGATCCTTAAAATGTAAAAAATTGAAAATCTCCAATATTCAATAAATGATAGCAACCCATCATCATCAGATCTTCAAAGCAACCCAAATAATCTCAAAAATTACGTCCAAGATATTGTTTGTAGAGGACGACGATAACCCATTGCGTGATGATGACGATTACCCAGTTTGTTTGTTTGTTTCTATTATATTTATTTTTCATTTTGGAACTGATGTATGGTTACATAAGTATTAGCACGTAGCTATCCGTGGGAACAAGTCCAATTAATACCACAAGACATTTAGACGTGAAAGATTGAGCTGGGTGGCATTTATAATTATTATTTGAGCGGTTGGTCTGTCTTTTTTAAATTATCCTAATAATTTTTTATTTTTTTTTATTTTTAAAGTTAATCAATTACATATTAAAGTATATCAATAATAGATCAAAATCAGACTGACTATAATTAAAAATATAATCTTTTAGTCAATTAATGATATATCATAATTAATTATTAACAGACGTGGAGGGTTTATAAAATGGATCCTTAAAATGTAAAAATTTGAAAATGCCCAATATTCAATAAATGATAGCAACCCATCATCATCAGATCTTCGAAGCAACCCAAATAATCTCAAAAACTACGTCCAAGATATTGTTTGTAGAGGACGACGATAACCCACTGTGTGATGTTGACGATTACCCATTTCGTGACGACAAACAGCGTTTTGAATACAGTTTTTTATATAAAAAATGTTTTAATATAAATAAAGTGAGAAAAAAAATCAAAATATACAGTGAAAAGATTAAACTGTAAAGTAACATTTGGCAAATAAAAAAAAAGAAAAAAAGCAAACAAAATTTAGTAAGAACAAATGTAAAAAAAATATTTAAATAAAAGAAAAGTGAGAAAAAAGAATTAAAAATTATTTGAAAAAAAGCAAAGCGCGAAAAAAAAAAAATCAAAATGCGTTGTGAGAACTTATAAAGTAGGATTTAGAAAAAAAGAAAAAAAAAAAAGAAAAAGCAAACAAAAGTTTGTAATGATATATGTAAAAAAAAAAAAAAAAAAAATTTTAACAAATACAAAGCGAGAAAAAAAATGTACTCAAGCTGGCCGAATGTCATTTTACTTTTTTTTTTTTTGAAGTAATGTCATTTTACTTTTTAATTTCATTCTTCCCTTCAAGAAAAATAGCTTATGTACTAACTTTAATATTTTCTTTTCAAGGGTTTAAGACACAAATTTTACCAACACATCATTTGCATATGACTACGTGTGCATGTCTAGCACGGTTGGTCTGCGTTTGATTATGTAGCAATATTCACCGAATCCATGAGAATTATGAATTGACTATCTCTCAATTTGAAAACAGTATTTCTGTTTACATACTTCTTTCTACTCTTCATAGCCTCTTCGAATTAAAATTTCTAATGACAAAAAAAAAAAAAAAAAAACAATTAAGTAAACTATTACTATTATATAAAAAGGAAACTTATTATATAGTTTTTTTCCTATGAACACACGCACATTTTTATATCTCAAATTATAAACTATTACTATTTTGAAAAGATCACATCTTTTGATGACTACTCCGGAAAATTGGATGAAGATGAGTTTAATTTTCTTTCTATTTGTTGTACGATTTTGCTTTTCAATGGCTAATCATTCCATTTTTTTTATAAAGTTGAATTGTTTTTTCTTAAAATGCGTTGTTCTTTTTTTTTTTTTGTTTTTTTTATGCTCTTTTGAATTCATTTCTTCCATTTTGTCTTTTTTATCAACACCATAATTCATATAATAATTATCTCATATTTGTGTTATTTATTGTTAAAAAATGTAATTATAATTACGTATGAAAAAATGTTTCATTCCAAAAACTCTAAAAAAGATATAGAGATAAAGAAATTATAATATTAAAATAATAAACTAAAATAAAATGATAGGTATAAAAAGAAAAATAAAATGATCAACAATTTATAATATTATAAAAATAGTTAGGGATATTGTTCGAATAATAAGGCCGTGTAAAAAGTAATTATTTAATCCTTTTAAAATTATGATGGGTGTGTACTTAAAATAAAGTGTGGAGAGTGAAAATGGGTGTGAATAGAACTACTCCTTAAAAAATCCACGAATTCGTATTATATATTACATAAATATAAAATATAGCAGATTCTTTTAAAAATAAATGTAAAAACTTGTTTCATCTTTTAATCCGTATAATATATGTAGTATTCACAAAAGGGTGTGAATAGAACCACCTCTTAAAAAATTCACGAATTTGTATTATATATATTACACAAATATAAAATATACAGTTTTTTTTTTTAAAAATAAATGTAAAAACTTGTTTCATCTTTTAATCCGTATCATGTATGTAATATTCACAATGAATAATTACATTTTACAATCCGTATTATACAGATTTTTTAAAATAAATTTAAAATCTCGTTTCATCTTTTTATAATATTAAAATAATAAACTAAAATAAAATGATAGGTGTGAAAAGAAAAATAAAATGATTAACAATTAATAATTTTTTTAAAAATAGTTGGGGATAGTGTTCGAAAAAGAAGGCTGTATAAAAAGTAATTATTTAATCCTTTCAAAATTATGATGGGTATGTACTTTGAACGGAGTTTAGAGAGTGAAAAAGGAGTGTGAATAGAACTATCCTTAAAAAACCTACGAATCCATATTATATATATTACATAAATATAAAATATAACAGATTGTTTTAAAAATTAATGTAAAAACTTGTTTCATCTTTTAATCCGTATAATATATGTAGTATTTATAAAAGGATATGAATAGAACCACCTTTTAAAAAATCCACGAATTTATATTATATATATTACACAAATATAAAATATACAATTTTTTTTAAAATAAATGTAAAAACTTGTTTTATCTTTTAATTCGTATAATGTATGTAATATTCACAATGAATAATTTCATTTTACAATCCGTATTATACAGATTTTTTTAAATAAATGTAAAAACTTGTTTCATCTTTTTTGCGTATAATGTATGTAGTATTCACAAGAAATGTGAGTGGAGAAGTCAATCACATGTTTACTTTTTTTTTTTTAATTTTAAAATGAGAGTAAGATTGGTGGGTCACACTCAAATTTAAAATTGAGGAATGAGATTAACCATCCCATGCCCCCCTTAGGATTGGGACTCCAATTCCTGATATTAACATTAAGGGCTCGTTCAGTTCGTTAGTTCGAGTTTTTAATTCGAGTTGAGATGTGACTTTATGAGAGAGCTTTTTATTGTAGCAAAAAAGTTAGATGTAACTGTTTCTGAGAGCTTTCTACTGTAGCAAAATAATAATTACAACCGATATTTATTATTTTATTTGTCTAATAGTATAATATTAGCCTAAGTATTGTTAACTTTAATATAATAAATATGTACTTTATTTTGTTTAATAAATAATAATATATTTTATTTTTGAACACTATTTTTATTTTTATTTATTTTATTTAAATTTTGTCAATTTTTTTTGTATATTTTAAATAATTGTACAATTTATATTTGTTATTGTATTACCCTGTTATTATACTAAATATCTTAATCATGATTAATTTTAATATAATAAGTACACAATTTATTTTTAACTAAAAATATAAAATTAACTTAAAGGGTATATTAGTACTTTTATATTAGTTCATTATGATTCTGGGCATAGTAAATGCATGAATAAGATTTAGACTTTAGAATGACTCTGATTTCGAATCTTGTTATTATGTTAACAATTTATTATGACTCTGATTCTTTACTTGGAATCCTACCCAACATGATTCATGCTCATTTTAATTGTGCGCAGGTAAACATATCATAAGACTTTTAATTTAGTTTATTATCGAATACTTGAATGTTATGTTATAATTTAGTTTATAATCGAATACTTGAATGCGATTGTGTAGCAATATTCTAATTTGTAATTAAACACCCCTGCTTTTATATTCTAATTTGTACTTAAAGGGATATTATGCCACCCACGTCTTAACTAGGTCGATCTTTTAAGATAAAACTTAAGTACTTAAAATATCTAATTTCTAATACAAAACACATACCAAAAATGGAGAAGAAATGTAAAATTATCAATTTCATCAATAGTCAAAAAATAAGACATCTTCAAGTTGGCAATTTTTCATTTATTTTGCGTTTTCTAAAAATATATATAGCTAGTATCTAAAATTTGTGAAAAGTTTTGTCATGGAACATTAGATAAACATGTAATAAAACTTCACACCTTTTATCTTTTAAGTGTTGTTATTCGTTTTGAATTTTGATTTTATCTTCTGATTCTGATTGTTGGCTTGTAGCTAGAATAAGTTACACTGAAAAATCGGCTTGCATAATTTAATTTTATTGTCTCGTTTTGAAAATAAAGATAGCGAAATTTGAGCTTTAGAGTCGCTTTCTTTTTTGCTAAAGACACAAACAATCATTTGTTTAAGGGAGAAAAAAAAAGAGTTTACCATTTTAGGAATACCAAAATTATGTAATAAAATAATTGGCAACTTAATTAAATATAATAGGATAGCTGGAATTCTTAAACAAAAAAAAAAAAAAAAAAAAAAAAAACCACTTTAGGAATAATTTAAATAAAAAAAAGAGGATAGGGGAAATTTTTTAAAAAAAAAAAAAAAAAAAAAAAAAAAAAAAACCACTTTAGGAATACCAAAATTATGTAATAATTATTATAACAAGAACTTCATTTGAGTTCTGCGAAAGGGCAGGCAATAGCTGCTTCTGAGTCTTGACTTTTAGCAGTGTGAGAGTCTGAGATTGGTAGTCCCTTCAAAAACCCTGCAAATAGCTCCGCTGGGTCATAATAAACTTCCACATCCTCAGCCCTCAATGAATCATCCACCTATATTCATTCATTCACGTGCATGCATGTAAATCGATCAGCACAAATTTCAAGACATATTGATAAGAAGCTGATATTTTCTTTTTAAACGAAGTCTTATTAAGGGAAAACAAAAATTATTAATGTGGGCGCATAACCGGCCACGATTCCTTAAGTACAAACAAATGACGAACAATGAGTAGAATGTATGTTAGAAGTCTGAAAGCAAAGTATTTTGATACACTAATATTTCGTTCATTTTGTTAATTTAAATTACAATTTAAATTTTTATTACATTATTTTTTTTATAAAAGTTTAAATTTAACTTTTTTTTTTATTATAGTGTTTTTCCTCATCAAATGTTAAACCTTTCTTCGGTTTTGTTTTAGTTTTTTATTTTTTATTTTTCTTTAATGGAAGGATTTACAATGCAATTTTCCCAGCGTATTGTTGAGTAATTTCAAACGTAATAATTTGACTGCGTATCCCATTTTACTAGGGAAAAAAAAGCATAGGCAAAGCATTTGCAGCACAACAAATGTAACTTAAATATTATGTGCAGGAAATGACGTGAAAATTAATGTCAGAAGTTGATAAATAAGTTAGATAATAAATTTAGTGCGAGAGATTTTCTGGTACGCATCGCGTACCGAAAGATCATGTTTTTTAACCGTTAAATTTACGTAGTTTTTAATTTTTACAAGACTTTGTACAAATTTGACGAATATAAAACCTAACTTATTTGTATGTTGGCGTATTAGAGAATGTCTCATTTGATATCTATAGTACTATTTGCTAGTGTGACCTTTACTAATACAATACCAATACTAAAGAACAAACTTCTACTTCGGTTTTGCATTGCTAAACGGGGTTGTCTAAATAATTTCTTTGTAATTTTATATCGTGGTAAATTATACTCCAATGCTTTTTCGAGGAATTTCTACTATTTAATGCTTAATTGGTAGTTTGGTACTACAAAAATAGATAGAAATGCTGGTTTATCCATATTTTGTGAGGAACACAAAAGTCTAACCTCTATTATTGTTTTGACCACAAAAGTCAATCCAACTCAAAAGAATGTGATATGTAGATCTTAAACAGTATGTGACCGGCAACTCACAAGTCACTACAACTCTACATCAATACTGATGGTTTTGGGCCATTTGAGGGGAAAAAAGTGTAATACCAAAAATACCCTTGGTATGTTGTTAAAATATTACTTTCACCCCTTGTATTATGTAAATACTCAAAAACATCCACTGTATTTATAAAAACAAACCCAAAACACCACCTGAAGCAATTACACTTTTTAAATACCAAATTTATCCTTCCCAATCTTTACTATACAATTTAAAACATTATTCAACCAAAATATTAAATAAAATCAATCTTAAAAATGAAAACTCTTAAATAGTTGAAGTATTTTCTTTGATTAGAATATCTATTTGAGCATTTTTTTTTAAATTATTATTTAAACTTTGAGTTAAATTACATCTAAAATAACATTTAATATAAATTGGAAAGGATAATCATGGCATTTTCAAAAATTTAACTGCTTCAGATGATGTTTTGGGTTTCCTTTTATAAATATGGGGGGTGTTTTGAACATTTACATAATAAGAAGGGCGAAAGTGCTATTTTAAAAAAAATTATAAGGGCTATTTTGTGTAATTTCCTAAAAAACAAAAAAAAAAATTGGTTTTAGGTCAATGTTACGAATAATTATTGCATGGTAAAAATTTTGTAGTTTAAAGGAGACGTGGAGAAAGTAAACTGTCTCTGTATATATAGTGAGACTTAACCTTTTTCAAAACGGCCGACAAAACTTGCATACGTAGAAAGGGTGCATAATTAAATATTTGTTGACTACTTCTCCATGACTTATTTGTAGAAATCAGCAATCAATTTCAAACGGATGTTTTTTTCTTTTTTTTTTTTTTTTTCCTCTCCCTAAACAACGAATTTTAGGAAAGATATAACAGTTTAAACCCGAGCTCTGTTTAAAATACTTTTTTCATACAAGAATAAGAATTCTCACGATCTTTAATTTTTTTTCTTCAGTAAATAGTCCTCTACTTTTAATTTCTATATCTTGTCTTACTACAGAATTAAAACAAACCCACCTTGAGAGTTGCAAGGCCATAGAACTGAACGAGCTCTCCAGTGGGAGCGTGGCTTCTGAAAGGCCCTTCAAAGAAACCCCAGTGCCTGAACTTGAAGGCAATCAATGGAGGTCCTGAATAAACATGCACAACTTCCCATGCAAACCCACGAGGTAAAGCCGATCGAAATAAATCGTGAGATGATTCAAAGCTTTCTTCTTCTGCTTTATAGTATTGAAACTCTTTCGGCAGAGAGTTCTTCAGCAGGGCGTTGTAGCTTCCAATTCTCAGTGTTTCTTCTGCTGTTAATCCTTCTCTTCCTGTATGAATTATCCACACACGTGTTTTTTTTTTTCTTTTCCAAAAAATAGTTACATCTAAAAATAAGAAAAAAATAAATTTATATCTAAAAATTTATAATATTATCGACTACAATTTTAGGTGCATTCCGACATGACAAACTAAATTAATGCAATTTTTGTTTTTATCTTTATAGGCACACAATTTTAATTTGATTAAATTATATATTAATATAGGCCTATTAGAGATACACATGAAGTATGCCCATCGAGCGCCAACTGGGTCTATTTGGTAAGGATGGGGAGGGTTAAGAGAGAGATCCCAGACTTAAATTTTGAGAGCAACTAATAAATTCATAGATAATTATTGTGTTATCTATATATATATATATATATATATATATATGGGAAAAAACCATTAAGCTTCAGCAATTTTCTCCAACTAATAAATTCATTTTCTATATATCTTAAGAACCAAGTTGGTTAGGAAATTAGATGTTTCTTGATGTGTCATAATGTGAGAGAGACTAATTGGGAGAAAGTCCCTTTCGGTACTAAGAGTTGGAGTAGAATTGATGAGAAATGAAGAAATGCTATATATATGTGTGTGTGTGTGTGTGTCCTAATATTATGTTATTATATACTCAGATGATCATCATTAAAATTAAAGGCTTACCATTAACAAAGAGCTTGAATTTTTCTGGGTTGATGGTCCTGAAGTCTTGCAAGCGAGTCTTGTGGGAGAGCTCCATCTCCCACGACTTTATAGCATTTTGTACTATTTCTTCAAGGGATCCTTTTGGCCATTCCTGAAACGAAATTAATGATCAAATCCAATATTATCCACAGTGTACAAATAGAAAAACAATACATACATTTATATATATATATATATATGTACACATTTCATAGACTATACATTAACCATTTTCTTGTTCTCTAGATATAAGAAGTGAAAAAGATAGAGAACCTTAGTTCTTCCTTGCTCAAAAAGCTGGTTAACACTATCATAGATGGGAGGACCACCATGTCTCCACTCAATTTTGGTGTTTTCTTCATCATCGAAGAAAGATCTGTACTTATCTCCTACTCTCTTAACTGAAGCTTCTGCACTAGCCATGTGTTAGAAATCTCTCAGAAGGATTTAAAAAGGATAGCTCTTACTTGGAGCCTTTTTATAGGAAAATTGATGAGATCATATATAACGGAGTAAGATATATACAGGAACAAGGAAATAATAAATTTATAAAATGGGGTGGCGACGTAAAGAAAGACGTACATAATTATGACAAAAAATGAAGCTTTAAAATTGCTCTCTTGGGAGAATCTAGTACCGGTCGTTTCTTTACGCTTGTCTGATGTAGGTGTGAGAAGGCTACCATGTTTCCACAAAGCAATTATTTATCCATTAAGCAACAAAAAAAATAATAATAATAAAGAAACTTATCCATTAGGCTAGTTTAAGGGGCTGTTTGGTTGTTTACTCGAGAAAGGCCCACTCGAGAGTGAAACTTGGCCCAAGTTCACTTCGACGTGTCAAAACTCAAAACGAAACTCGAAAATAAATTCGAGTTACCTATCTTGTTTTGAGTTCATCTTCTCATTGCAACTCGAGTTACTTCTGTGTATTTCTACAGTGAAGATTCCTGACTAATATTGACCATTGCGTGCTTGTCCATCTCTAACGCTCTAACATGCCAGAATCTGCTACTTCACGTGCTTCTACAGAGAGATTCCTGTAAGTTCTGCTGCCTTTTGACCATAACTCACTCCTTCAAGCTTCAATTTACACACTTTCTTTTCCGCCCCATACCCATAACTCAAATGCTCCCTTTGAGTTCTGCTGCCTTTCCCTCAATCTGAGATAGAAACCCTAGCCCCAAAATTCACCCCTCATCTTATGCCGCATGGTCTCCGTTCAAGACGGAGAAATTCAGGGGTAGAAATCAATCTCTTCGGCAACCTCCTTGGACAACAATCCTAGCTCGATGTAGAAGGAAAGAGTCTCGGCGTAGTGCTTTCCTGTGGCAACGTGAAATCTACTTCCCCTTCCATTGTCGTCGCCGGCACCTGACTCAGGGACAACAGTCTTTGCATTTGGGGAATCTCGGAGCAGATCAAACTCACTCCTCTGTAGGCTCCAACTCGGTAAGCACTTGAATCCTAGGTTTAATTCCTTCCAAGTTGCATGCTCATCTCCTCCACCAGCAACACTTTCCCCATGGTAACCAAAAAAAAAAAAAACTCCTTTTTTCTTTTTTAACTCTCTGTGGTTTGTTTGGTTGCCGAGAAAAGTGGGGAAAGAGAAATCGATGAGAGAGAAAATGGATATTTTTGTTTCTTTTAAGCTTTTCCAAAGATGGATTGCTGCTCTTTCTCAATTTTCTTCTTGTTCAAGAAGTTTGAGGAGTTGCTGAATATTTTCTGGATAATGGTTTATTTATCTCAGAACTTGTAAAAGGAATGTACCAACCATTATTTGTGATTATCACACGAGAAGGGAACTACAAGTGTGAAACTTATTTAGTAATACTGGAGCTTGATGTGAGGCTTTGAGATATGTTTCTAGTACCTCAAAATAGTTTCTTTAATTTTTGTTTTTGATTCAGGAGCTATGCATTTTAAGGATGTTGGTTTTAAGCAAAAACCAAGACAGACGAGAGAAAAAAAAACAAAACAAAAAAGAGAGATCTTTGTCTGCTCTTGAATTATATGTTCTTAGTGTTGGGAACGGTGTCCTAGAAGCATAAGATGTAATAGGATATTTATTATTTATTTAATAAAATAGTTTATTCATTATTTTATGTGCATATATTTATGAATATTTTATGAATATCAATAAAAATTCCATGGTTATTTATGTAACCTTAAACATTGTATATAAGTGTTATATACGAGAGGATAATGTTTAAGGATAATAATCAAAAAGCAATGTTCATAATGAATTTAATTAAAGTTTGGAATCTTTAATTAAAACATTATTAATACATGTCATTCTCATTTAGAATGGAACGGTGTTATCCGCACTGTTAATATGGTGAGATATTGAATGAGTGTATTTCGCATAATGAGATTATGTGGAACATGGACACAGACACAATATGAATTTCTAATGATTTCCGTTAAGTATAGAAATTCTAATTGAGTCTACCGATGGTCATATATAGGATGGTCTTAATCTTGAGTTCTTAACAGACTCCTATTTATAGATTTGTGTCTTTTGATTTACTCGGTACAGATTCTGAAATCCTAAATCCTATTCCTTGTATTTTGGAGACATGATGAAGTAGGTAGCCGGGAATGTTATTACACGAGATGAAATCCATTCCTTCTTAAGAAAGAAGTAGATAAATAATTCTCTTGAGGGTTGATTCGGTACTTGGACCAGTAGGAGCTCCGATTCATGAATGTGTTTTATGAATCACTGTCCATTAGAGAACCAATGGTACTCAAGGATAAAGAAGTAATTAGA